AACGTGCATAAACCTACATAAATTTTTCGTGCATAAGGTGACTGTATCAATGTAGTCGCCTATAAATCGCAAGTGTAGCGATGATCGCGCGTTTTCAAACACGCATTTCCATCGCTGCTAAAAGTAACCGTGTGTAACCACTCGAATGGTCGTATTCTAGAACTCTACTCAATGCTCAAGTCAGGATTTGAGTATGGTTTAAAGCACTCGAAATCATACTCAAGTCCCTGCTATTAGGGTCGTATTTCCAGTGCTTGTGTTTCCAGTGCAATCCTGACTTGAGCATTGAGTAGAGTTCTAGAATACGGCCTTAAGAGTCGTATCCAGAACCCTACTCAATGCTCAAGTCAGGATTTGAGCAGACTTGACTATGATTTCAAGCACTGGAAATACGACCCTAATGGCAAGAACTTGAGTATGATATGATAACAAGTCCTGACTTGAGCATTGAGTAGAGCTCTAGAATATGACCTCAAGACTTAACAATATCTACAAAACGTTGGAACGAAAGTCGTTTTATTTCATTATTTGTGGGTCGCTACGATTCGGAGTACTATGAATTCCTGACAGCATCCATCGAACTAGCTGTGACGTAAAAAGGCAAAGCTTTAAGAAATTAATGGTTAGACTACGAGGAGAAATTTGCTAATATCAATTTAAAGCAAATTAACAGTTTTAGTTTAGTAGTTTGTAATGAATATCATGTTTTTATTACATAGAAACAACTATAAAGATATACGGGTTACCACAGTGAATTTTTGTCATCCAGTAGTCCTATAAATAACCTTCTGTAAACATAAAGTCTTTGTTTCACTATTGTTAACCGACTTCAAAAAAAAGGAGGAGGTGTTAAATTCGACTGTATGTTCTTTTGTTGTATGTATGTTACGCGATAACTCCGCCATTTGTGATCCGATTTTGATGATTCTTGTTTTGTTGAAAAGAGGGTACCTCAGAAATGGTCCCATTTAAATTTGAAGAAAATATTCGACCTCTAAGGGTGGTAAACTAGGGGATGAATGACTTGCGAGGTCGGTTTTTTTTTACCGACTTCAAAAAAAGGAGGAGGTTCTCAAAACGACTATACGTTTTTTTTGTATGTATGTTACGCGATAACTCCGGTATTTGTGAACCGATTATCATGATTCTTTTTTGTTGGAACGAGGGTACCTCCAAAGTGGTCCCATTTAATTTTGAAGAATATCATCCACCTGTAAGGGTGGCTGTTCACGCGTGAAGATTCATTTTTATAAATAGCGCCTAAATTTTATTATAAGAATAAATTATTTTAATGCTTGATTTTGCTATTCTCCAATTCAAGGCGTTTTTCTCTCTCAATATATTACTTTGAGTAGTGAGAACCGATTTTTATTATCTCCTGAATCAAGTCCCGTATAGTGGCGAAGTAGGGGATGAATCCGGGTTAGCTCACTTTCCGGTAACCGATTTCAATAAAACTTGGTAATTATATACAATTCCACGTACTTTTGAGGTTGTTCTTTTAGTACTCTGTACTGAGATTAGGTTATTTAAAACCTTGTAAATGGTAAATTTTGAATATCAAGTGTTATCTTATTATAGAAGCATATACATTGCCTGTGTACTTTAATTCCTTGTATTAAGGGGGGTGACACGCCCTAAGGAGGAGAAGCGGAAAAAGTATTTTGCTAGATCAAATGGTTTAGGTATTTACTATTAAATAACGGTCTTACAAGAAATATGCGCCAAAAAAGGCTTAATATCCATTGTTTAAAAAAAAATTGCTGTTACAAAATCGATTACGAAATTCTTTATAATAGGTATATAGGCAGATAGATATAATAGGTATATAGGTATAGAGGCAGTTATATAGGTATATAACTGCCTCCGTGGCCGAACGGTTACCATGCCGGACTGCCACGCAGAGGTCCCAGGTTCGATTCCCGGGCCGGGAGAAATGTTTGTATGGCTTACATTTATTTCTCTCGTGAGTTTGGGTGTAATTTGTGGTTGTCTATGTGTGTGTCCATGGCACCCGCGACACAGGGTTTCCCTAGTGTGGGGCTATGTTGAGTGTGTGCGTTATTTATTTATTATTTATTATATTCTTAAAATTCAATTTTGTTTCACATTGGTATGTAAAAATATTAAAAAAAACCTCTCCTGCAAAATTTGTTTATAGTTACCGCCGTAGATTACCGCCGACTTAGTGTAAGTGTACACTAAGTCAGCGGTAATGGCTCGATATATTCTATATGACCATAAGACATCTAGAAAAATATGTTGTTCATACATAATTGATGGGCATACTTGCTAGGGCTTTAACATTATACACTGGGCGTTTTTCGCATTTCCCATTGTAGTTTGCTCAGCTCTTACGAGGTTAAAGGAATTTTATACAATGTAACAATACAGATAATAAAGAGTTATTAAATAGAGTATGTGTATATAAGCATTGTTAGTACTTGGAGAAGTGATGGCGGGGTGAAACAGGACTCGACATTGTTCGGTCAGTTTTGCTGAGTTTTGCTTTCCATGCAGGCTACTACATTATGTGCATAAACGTGAGCAAAACATAGTGCGAAAAACCTATTTAAACATCCCATATAATTTATAAACAATTCCAATTATACATCATAATATAAATAAACAAACAAAGGTATGTAATAAAAAAAAAACAACATGTTATTTGATTACAAAATTGTTTCCCATGTGTGTGTTTTTAAATAAAACCGCCATAATCACATAAATGAAGCCTGTACCATCCGACTCGGCTGGACAGCGTTCGGGAAATGACGCCATATCTCGCCATGTCTTGTCCAAAATACCACAGTGTCTCGCGGCAAAAGCCTTCGACCAGTGTGTGTTGCCAGCGATGACTTACGGCACTGACACGTAGGGCCGTATTCCAGAACTCCACTCAATGCTCAAGTCAGGACTTGAGTATGATTTCAAGCACTGGAAATACGACGCTAATGGCAATGACTTGAGTATGATTTCTAGTGCTTTAAATCGTACTCAAATCCTGACTTGGGCATTGAGTAGAGTTTTAGAATACCATCCGTAGTCGTTCACTATGGGCCTCATAAGAGGGCTCAAGGTCACAAAGGGCAATGGAAAGGGCTATGCTCGGAGTTTCGTTGCGAAATGGAATCAGTAATGAGGATATCATAAGAATTACAAAACTTAAGTCGCAATGGGCTGGGTACATTGCTCGCAGAACAGATGACCGATGGCAAACCACCTACAAGGTGGACTGATGATCTGATGAAGGCTACGGGAATCCGCTGGATGCAAGCGGCGTAGGACAGGTCGTTGTGGCATTCTTCGGGGGAGGCCTATGTTCAGCAGTGGACGTCTTTTGGGTGAAATGATAATGAATTGAAAATAATGTTTAATGGCAATAGAGCTCCTTGTGAAGGAATTCGTCTAGAATATTACAACCGTCATACCTATTACCGCCACTGTGCGATGTGATGCGAGCATCACTGTGTCCCGGCTTTAAAGGTGATGGTGAAACTACAGGCACGTAGGACTTGTCAACTTTATACCTCAAGGTGACGAAAGCAGTGGCAGCGCCCTTCAGGTCTTTACGAAACTCTGAGTGGCACTACAACTGTTATGGGTAGGCGTGATACTTACCACCAGGTGCACGTCATGCTCCCCCGTCACTGGATAATTATAAAAAAATACCTGATTCGTGTACCATCATTGTCACAGTTTAAAATTATAAGATGAACGTGGAAAGTATTAAGCTGAGACGGCAATTGTTCCAGTACTTAATCGCAGCACATTTGAAACACGGAAAGCTGTGGTGCCAAGACATGCCACTACCAATGAGCATATTGGCGTATTGGCTATCCTTTACGTGGTGAGAGCGTGCTGGTTTTAATAAGAGGTATGTTGGGATACTGTCTTAGATCCAATTTCATGTATATTGCTAATTTGCTGTTTTCGTACTGATCATAGAGTAAATGATGATGAGTAAACTTTGTTATGCCCATTGTAAAAAATCTTCTACTTCTTCTTTAGTTCAATAACACATAGAGCATGCGGTAGTATGTAATTAGACAACGCAAAGAAAATGTTCGGAACGGGAAACAAAACTAGGTTTACTAAAATTACTATAATGTTCATAGTGATCAATACATTTCATGCTATTGAATTGAATGGAAAAGAGGACAAAATTATAAACATTCTTATATGGACGCCTACGACTATGGAACCGTTTAACTTCATCGATATGGGACAGAAAGCTTTTGAGAACTGTACATTCAAAAACTGCTTCTTGACCGCAGACCGTACTTATCTGAATAATGTTCAGGATTTCGATGTTATTATGTTTAACGTTTGGCAAGTTGGCGAAGGGAACTTGAATGAATATATGCCCTTACCTTCTAACCGATCTGAAGCACAAAAATACTGTATGTATGGCATGGAACCCGCTGGGTACCATCCTGTATCCGAAGCGTGGAATGGTTATTTCAATTTCACATTCACATATAAGCTCTCATCTAATGTTACGATTCCGTATGTGGTGGTCAAAAACGAAAAAGATGAAGTAATTGGGCCCAAAATTGACATGCGATGGAAAACGTTGAGCGAAATGAATAATACGAGTGACTATATAAAAAATAAACTCCAGAATAAGAATATTGCAGTTGCTTGGATAGTATCCCATTGCGAAACACCTTGGCGTCGTGTGTATGCTGACAATTTGCGTGATGAATTGGCTCGTTATGGCCACAGTCTTCATGTTTACGGGAAATGTGGTATTCAGTGTCCTAAAGATGAAAGGATGGATGAATGTTTTGCTTTAATAGAATCAGATTACTTTTTTTATTTATCATTCGAAAATTCATTTGGTGAAGACTATGTTACAGAAAAGCTTTTGCATGCCTTAGAACATTTTACTGTGCCCGTGGTGTTTGGTGGTGCCAATTATGGCAGGTACGTACCTGCAGCATAATACTTATATCAAATTACTACTGAGATGTTCAAGTTTAAGCAGGTATGTAATATAGTGATTTTACTTAAAAAGTCTTGTCTCTCTGTCTGTATCTGTAGTTTTACTAAATTAATGGTGAAGAAAACGATAAAAGTAGGTTTTTGTGACTCATGTTTCAATATGTTAAATGCCAGAAAGGTGTGCGTGACTGCCTTGAGGTTTAAAAATAACAGTATTCTACACTATTTAGAGGTACAAGATCTCGCAATAACATCGTTTCTATACCAAAGTTCGTACAATACCCCAAAAATAGATTGTGGGATAAGCTTGTTCTGCCATGGTGAACAATGGCGCAAAAATTAATATCGGTGATTTTATTATAATTACATCTCTTTATGATTGCAGATTCATGCCGGAAGGAATTTACTTGGACGCCAATGTTTTAACACCGGACAAAATGGCAGAAAAAATGAACGAAATCATATATGACAATAATAAGTACTATGAGTTCTTCAAATGGCATGACCATTATAGTTTTCACTTCTCTGGTGAGGATCGTTACAGTAGAGAAGTTTGTCGATTGTGTGCTTACCTCAACGATAATAAAAAACGTATAAGTATTTTGGAAAATATTGCCGATTGGTGGAACGAAGAATTTCCTCCATGGCCAGTGCTTGAGGAACAAACCAAAGCAGAGAAGTTTTTCACAAATTTGTTAAACATTTTAGATCCGTCTTCAGATTGATTCAAACGTTTTATCTCTTTTATCTTAGACGGTTTTTCTTAATCTCATAGACAAAATAACATTTGTAGATTCCTTGTAAAATGTTACTCTACGTATAAAAAAGGCTGTTTGGAGGATCGGGCCAAACGGCGCAAATTTGAGGACGCCAATGTCAAGAGTGGCTGATGATCATGATAATGGACTATATATGAAAATACTGATTTTATTTTATATAATACTATTCTATGTATCTATAATAATTGTATTGATAATGTAAATAGATAAAATAAACAACTGATATTTATGTGTAAATTTTTCATAGTTATAATTTACTCTAAAATAAATAAAGCACGTTAAAGAATATCTTCCACTTCGGGTTTTTCTTTGGTTGGACGAAATCAAGGCAAAATTAATTTCAGAGGTTGCCGCTCTAAAGATCATGGTGATACTGCAACCAAATCTTTCCTTCAAATCTTTAACCAGGAGTTTGCTTTGAATGATAAGTTGGAGTAATGTGTACCTACTTATTGTTCCTCATGATATGGTCGAAGTGCGATATCTTTCTACGCTTAATGATGGTCATGAGCGTTCATCTTTTTCTACAGCTCATTGACTACTTCTACATTTGTAATCCAGACACGCCATGAGATTCTCAAGATACGGCGGTAAATCAACATCTCAAAAGCCTCTAGCTCCTTTGTTATGTTCTGTGTGACCGTTTAAGTTTCAACGTCTTATAGTAAGTTTAAAAAGGCTGAGCGTTCAATGCGCATTCTTCAAAACTGAAATTTAGAGAAAGAGTATAAACAATTTCATAATGTAACTATTAAGGTACATAAACCATCCCCCTTTTGTGTTCTATCTAACATATTTTTGTAAGTTTATTGTAATAGACTCATTTATTGATATTTTACGGGCAACATACATACGTAACAGACGTAAGACCTAGCTACCCATAGTACAGCGGATTCTACTTTGGGAGCTACACCAATTTTTGTGTCCTTTGAAATAAAGTAATTATTATTAATAAAAAAACGTATTTGTATCATCTCCAATTAATTACATTTATAAGATAAAATCAGTGAGACAGACATACTAATTTTATCTTACTTTGCAAACACTTGAAACTATTATTATTGACATTTTATGAAACTGGAGTTCTATTATTGAGGTTTATTTCCAACAATTTAAATTTTAATCCATTTTTTGTTTTGTGACCCATTATTACCTTCCAAATCTCCGACGACCCTTAAAAACGGAACGTCATTGTTTTAACTGGAGATACCAATTATCTTTCAGACATCATACCGAAAAATCCTTCAACCGGCAGAACGACGACCTTGATACTTGAAGAAATATAAAAATTAATGCCGTAAATACGGGTGAGACAGTCGTTACACAAAGATTTACAAGAAATTCACTATGGAGGACAGTAGTCCAATCGGGTGCAGTTCATTCGAACAAATGACACATTTTTATCAAAATAACGCTCAAAAGACATTCTTGCATTAAATAAACTGTCGTAAGAAATGATACACTTTATATTAACATTTCAGATATAATCATGAGAATAATGTATTATAAATATTCCAATGTCAAAGTTAGGTGCGACAACGAGCGCAGCGAGGAGAAGCAATAGGTTAGAAATCGCATTAAAATTAATCTTATAGAATAGAACTGACACTTTCCTTAGGATGAATTACAACATTTTTGATATGTAATGAATATTCCCCGTAAAGTTTTAATCAATATATTTTGTTAAACAAAAAAGCATTACAACTAGTGCGACACTCGCAGATCACTGAATGGTCTACGAATGCAATATGATAATGGGTTTAGGGTGTAGTATCTAGCTGGGGTTACCCCGATTCTGCAGCGCATTCGGCATGTTTTGGAGTGGGTAAATCGCCTGATTTTAAGACACTGGATTGCGTGCCACATGCGTTCCATATGTATATATCGCACCCTTAGTAATATAAGGGCACAATCCAAAAAAAGTAGATTTTTGGGAAATTTGGGAATTGATAGGGACTTAAATAATAAATGGGATCAAACTTATATAGCTCCATATTTCTGTTATATTTTTTGTACTATACGGGTCTAACTTGAAAGTGTTTTTTTAACTTGCTTGAAACTTATGGAATTTATTTATACATATTTTTTTTTTATTGCTATTTATAATACATTTATCAAAGAACAAATCTGCCAAATTTCATATTTATAACTTAAATAATAAGCATATTATTTGAAAAAATAGGTGTAATGTAGGAATCCAGAATCTTAATACGCGATTTCCCAAAAATCTACTTTTTTTGGATTGTGCCCTTATATTACTAAGGGTGCGAATGTGTAATATGAAATAATTGTAAATTTGATAACGTCAAATAGCTATTTAGTTCTCTTCCTCGACATTAGATTGATATTATAGTCAGGTCTTGATTCACTGTATACATTTTAAGTGTGTCAAAGAACGAAAATTCTCATTGAGCGCAAAAACCGTTTTGTGACTAAATCAAAGACCGTGATGGCGACAACAGCGACGGCATAGACGATGATGTTAATAACACGCCAGATATTCACATTAATTATCTGGTCTCAAATAGGAAATTCCCTGTACTATGAGTATCAGATAACCTCAATTCATTTTAGGGGAACTATCGAGAACATTCGGACCAGAAACAATTTAGAAGAGTTCATGAACCCGGAACCACTTCATCCAGTGCTTACGGTGAAAATTTTTACGCCACTGACTTCATCTGTATAAAATTCGAAACCTTTGGTATAGTCAAGATCACAAATATTTAAATCTTTAAATATTTCTCCCGACAAATTGTTGCAGATAGGGCCAGTTACTATTAATCTTTGTATTCCAGTCACGACAGCTTTATACAATGCAGTGACAATCCACGTTCTTCATTACATTATAGATTCCGAGTATTGTCTCAGAAATACATATTCCACAACTTTTATACATTTCAACTGTTACACCATGAAACCTAAACACTATTTAGCTGGTATTAATATATCATACGTACATTATTGACATTAAAGCACATTATGATCTTCAGATAAGATCCAATCGCAATTTTAAAATGTAAATAATAACAAAGAAATTAATTAAATAACTTTTCATTCTTTCTATTTCATACTTATGTTATTCTACTGTACCACAAAACCCATTGATGGGTCTCATAAGTAAATATTTCATGAGT